TTTTTTTTTTTTTTTTTTTTTTTTCCGCGTTTTGGAACGGGCCGTTCTGCAACCTGAACGGCCCGTTCTAGTTGTAGAACGGGTCGTTCTGCTTGAACATGCGAAAATTGTGCATCTGAAAGAGTCCGTTCTAAAGTTAGAACGGGCCGTTCTGACACCAAGAACAAGCCGTTCTAAAACTAGAACGGGTCATTCTAAACTAGGATTTTGGGCCTTTTTAGAAGTTTGGAACAGGCCGTTCTGGTTTTGGAACGGCCCGTTCTGGGTGTCAGAACCTTCCATTATAAATACATTCACTTTCACCACAAGTTTCACCTTCACTTTCACCACAAGTTTCACCTTCACTTTCACCATACCAAATTTATCAAAGTTATCAAAATACTAACTCACCCTTCTTATGATATTCCCTCCAATCACGATGTTGAGTCATACACACAGCTTTTCCGCAAACTTTGTGACGTTATTTCATTTTTTTGGTGTAGTGTATAGATCTTAAACTCATTACCAAGAGTCGATGGATCCCTTTTTGATTTATCATTTAATTATATAATAATTTAATTACACCCAATAATCATTCAACTTAAGGTATTAGGTGTCTGAAATCAAAGTATAATACATATCTTGTTAATTATTATGATAATCTCACGTCTAAGAAATTATATATTTCTTCTTAAGAATTTTCTATTGACAAAATATTAAGGTAATACATAACCCTTAGGAATTCTCCTTTATAGAGTCTGTTTAATAGTCATATCCCTATATGCATTATTTATATGAGTAATTTAATAAATAAGATCTATTAATCTTTGTCCAATAAATACTATTACACATATATTGATCTATATGGATTAATGATGTCCTATTCTCAATAATCCTATGATCAAGAACAATTTAGATAAAAATAAAAAAAAACTTATTTTTCTCATTATTATAATCTCTGTTATAAAAAGAAGTCTTTAATTTTAATCAAATACTTTATCATATTAATTATTTTTCATAATCAATAAATATGACAATAAAGCACAATCTTGCATAAAAGTGTAACGACCCGCCGTGGTCGCTACACTTAATGGAATCGAACCAAAATTTGTAAACTAAAATAAATAATAAAATTGGATAACTCATAAATACAAAAAAAAAACATATATTCAAGAACTGAAACAATATATTTTTTTAAAATTACAGAACTAAAAACATAAATGTTAAATTTTTTGTCCTTAAAATTTAAAATTTATTTTGTCCCTAAAATATAAGAATTATTATTTTGTTCCTCAAACTTAAAATTTATTTTTTTAGTTTTTGTAAATTCAAAAAAAAAGTTGTTTTAGTCTCATATACGTCTTTTTAATCCCTCATATTTACAACATGTGTTTTTATAGCCACTATATATATATATATATATTATTTGAGTCTTTCTTCTCAAATGTTATTTGAGTCTTTATTTCAGCCATTATTATTTGAGCCTCTAAAAAACATATATTCAAGAACTGAAACAATATATTTTTTTAAAATTACAGAACTAAAAACATAAATTTTAAATTTAGGGGACCAAAAAAACAGTGACTCTAAATTTGAAGTACCAAGAACATAATTAAGTCTTGTAAAAATTTATCCCTATAACTATACATTTTTTTCAATTATTACATGTTATCAATAATTGTGTGTTGAGTGTTCTAAGGTCAAGTGTTGAGAGACTCTATGAGTTAAGGAACTCTTGAGGAGTCTGTAGGGTATTTTAAAGTTTCTCTTGACAGAGGTCCAATTTGACCCTGAGAGAAAGAATATAAGGTTTCTTTTGAGAATTAAGTTTCATAAGTTCATTCTCAAGATTCCTACAGAGATAAATTAGAGAGAAGTGCTCTAGAATTCTAAAGTTTCCTTCTTCTTTCTAGGCTTCCAGAGTACGTAGATGATCTTTGTTGAGCATCTAGTTGGTGATTCAAAGTCATGGAGCTAAGAATCAAAGTTAGTGCAGAATTTTCTCGGTGTTATTACTCAGAGTTCTCTTTCCTTCTTCCTCTTTTTGCTTAGAGTTGAGATAAGGGAAACTAGAACTTGTTTTTGGTTGGATCGCTTATGATGCATGTTGGTTTTTTCATCAAATTCTTGTATGTTGGCTAGATTTGAATTGAATGATATGAGTTGTTAAGTTTTGGTGCTTTGAGCATATGAAGGTGGATTTTGATGAAGGGAGTCATTTGATTGTTGCATGTTGTAATTCTAATTGGAAATGAGTTGTTTGAAGTGTATAAGTGGGAGATATTACATTGCATGTTGGAGATTTGTCTAGTTTTTAGGAGAAAGGAGGGCAATTGTTGAGTTTGCAAGTGCAAAACTCATTATCGTGCTAGGCATGCTTTCATGGCATTGGGCATAGTTTAATTATAGGCACTCAATTTTTTTTCATGTTAAGTGCAAGATTGGTGGCAACTCAGGCATGAGGAGAAAAAATTGTCTTGAGTTGGAGTGACATTGAGCGTGAGATGAGAAAATTGACTCTGTCTAAATTTGTGTTGAGCACCAGAGGAGTGACATTAGGTGTGGGGAGAAAGAATTGCCTTGGGTTGGCGTGAGGCTAAGTGTGAGATTTTACCATACCAAGCGTGAGAGCCTAGGGATTTCCCATCTCATCCACACCGAGTGCAAGTTAAATGGCATTAGGCCTAGGTGAGGCAAAGAGCCCTCTACCTCAAAGACGTCAAGCATGGGTCACTTTGAAAATACTTGTTCTTGTAATTAAATGGTGAATATGAATAGGTTAGTTGAATCTATTGCATGTTGTATGTTAATTGGAGATGTTGTTCTATGTATATTGATATAGCATGGGATGATATATATAGATGATGGTATGATTGAAATGGTTGAGATGCATGGCATGCTATGATGTTGTTAAATTTGTATATACGTTGATTTAGGGTAATGCATATATATAGGTGATGGTTGTTGATGTGTACTTGATGCTAAGAATATTATAGGTATTAAAACATGTTTATTGACTTAGGACTAGAGGAAAGGATATTTTCCAAAAGTAGAATGTCCCATAGTGGGGATATTGATTTGACACATCAGAAAGCCATTTGTTGAAACACTCCTTAAGTAGGTGTTAACTCTTGGAGTAAACTATTAAATCTCCTATAGATTCTTAGTCAATGTTGGAATAAGGTATGATAAATATACATTTATATAGTAGATAAATAATATTTATTTTAAAGATCTATAAAAAAATTTGGATGTGACATAATAATGTTATGGACAGTTGTGGATATTACTTAAAATGAACACTTAACATCCTAATAAACAAATAAATGATTAAAAATTTCACATGATAATAGAAATTTAAAACAAAAATTTTCAAATTTAGAAGATGAAAAACAAAGAAATTCTTTTTACATACACCAAAATCAAATCTTACATATATTACAAAGACAAAATACATTTAAGTCAAGAAATAGTTATTTATTTCTTTAAAAAAAATCATAGGTAAAATATTATTTCTTCAAAATAATTCAAACCAACCTACACGTACTATTCTTTTCAATAAATCCTAAACTCTAAATCTTAAATCTTAAACTTTTAATAAGAATCAAAAATATTTTATAAGACCAGTAAAAAAACAATAATTACAAAATTTAAAAGATGAAAAATTAAAATACATAAATAAATTTGCAGCACCAAAATCAATACTCACTTATTTTCCAGAAACTAAAATCATATTTAATACTTTTAATTTTCTTTCTGTAGCAGTGATCTTTTAACGCTTGACTTATGCAACGTACATGAATCATTGGATTTGGATGGTTAAGATGAGAAGCGTGTTCTTGGAAAATTCTAACCTATTTTATCCATCACATTTTTCACATCTTGGAAATTTTTCAACTCTTTTTTTCTTGTCATTATTTGTAGTTTTATAGGGTGCATTTAATAGAGTTTTATCATTTGTTCCCATCATTATTTGTAGTTTTATAGAGTGCATTTAATTGAGTTTTATCATTTTAACAATGAATTAATTCTGAACATCATATGTAATACTGTAAATACTTAAATATGTGCCATTAGCATGACATTTTTTCTTAAGTATCTTATTCTTATTAATTAAAACTTTGAATTGAATCTAATTTTTTTGTGTTTTATATTCTTTTGTGTAAATTTGTATTGAAAATAAGTTAAATAATATATAATTTTATCCAAAAATTATCAAAATAAATTAGTAATTAACTTTAACCTTATCTTACACTAATTTAAACTTTTATGTAACAAAATAAAAAAAGTTATACTTATCTCTATCTTGTTTATTATTTATTTTTTGCATATACATACATGTCAAAAATATTTTATAAACAAATGTCTCAAAATATTTTGTTAAATTTTGTTTTTCCATTTAAGCACCTTTAAATTGTATCTAGTTAAAAAAAATTACGAAACATATTAATTCTTAATTGTTAATTTTAAGATATTGTATGAATATATTTATAAAAAAAAAAAAAAAGTAATTAAAAAAAACAAAAACAAAAACGAGCCTATTGCCACCGCCGTGTGAAACAGACTTACCCGCAGAAAGCACGGGTTGTTGATGCTTTATAGTTCGGTTCAATGTATTTGTTTATGTTGATAATAAACCAATGAATGACACAAAAGTTAACATACATTCATAACTATACACATCCACAAATAAAAGTAGAAAGAAGTTGAATGTCTAAAATGATTACATCAATCTAAATGACCCTTTTAAATTTTCTTTGTATACATAGTACATACACATGTGGCTGAACTGAAGTCAACCAATGAAATAAGGCTTTGTTGTCGTTGTATACTGTATACGCACATGAAATACTGAAACTAGTCCTTTAGTGAGGCTTTTGCAGAATGATGACCCGATGATGTCCGACACGAGTTTCATTAATGCGTCCAAGGTGACGAAGAACCTGCAGAACGTCAAAGACGACACACATGAAATATCTTGTGAACCGACAAACCAAATTATGCAGAGAGATCGCACACTAAAGTTTCTATTGGAACTTCAAGTCAACTATCTTTCATCCGGTTTATAATAGGATTGCATCAGAAAATATTGGGAAACATTCACTATTTGGGGATAATGGCATTACTACCTCAAAATTTCACCCCATTTCCCTGGCTACTGTCTACTGCAACCATATTAAGCATTCAAGCATTGCCTCAAAATGATGTCAATATTGACCAAGCATAAAAGAACAGCCAATTCACATCTCGTGTCAAGAAGAGGTAATATTGATCATGCACTCAGGAAACTTGGTATGTCTTGAGATCCTTGACATAAAATCCAACTGGGAAAAACTCATGCTACAACCATTATCAAAAGTGAATTGTTTAACTCCGATCTTTGGTGATCTCAGGAACAATCATAATAATTTTAAGAGAAAATTATTTTGAACCAAATGAAGAGCAGAATCATTATTTAAAGCAAAGCACCATTAGCATGATTTGATTAAATCAAGGGGCGAGCGAGCAATTAAAGAAAGAGGACATCCACAAACTAGGAGTGAGTAAAATCCGGTCCGATCCAATGACAGTCTGCCCAAAAAGGATTGGACAAATTCGGATTTTAAAATTAAAGCCTGCGTATTCTTTTAGGAAAGGTAATCTTCCAAGTCGTACAAGCCCGATTTCACTGTCTCACTATATTAAGAAATATAATTTCTTTTGACCTGTCGTGTATTAATAATAAAATTTTAATTAGTAGATAATATTTTGTATCATGTTATTATTAGGCATGGCAACAGGATGGGTCAAGGTGTGAGCGGGTTTTATGTTTCCCGCCCCTTCTCTCGCAAATTTAAATCGCCTCCGCTCCCAATACTCGTTGAAAGTAAAACTTAGGTATTCATTCCCGTCTCTAGCGGGGTTCGGGTTTCCCCACCCTGCCTCCATAGCCGCTCATGAATTTTTTTTCTTTTTTGTTTCTAATAAATATGAAAAAATAAAAAAAATAAAAGAAAAGTAAAATAATACAAAATTTCACATATAAAGATTTCTAATTTTGGTTTATATATATAAATAATTTTTTAATTATATTATTAAGCGACGCAGGAGCGAGGGCGAGGCGAATATTAACATCCCCGTTCCCGTCCCTGCTCCCAATTTTATCAATGGGGAAAAACCTGAACCGATAAACATGAGTTTTCTCCATTCAAATCAGGGCGAGTTCAGAAGTGTATTTATGGGATCAGGTTAAATTTTCATGCCTATCAAAAACACTACATATTTATAATGATATTTATTTTAAGAAGTATATCATAAAATATAACTATTTAATTATTATAACTTCTTTATTCTACACTTTAAATAAATATCATATTAATTTTAATATATTATGTTAAAATATCGAGTCGGTAACATTTATTTTGAGTCTTGACCCGGATCAGATTTGGATTTAAATAAATAACTAGGTAAAAACTTCCATGTTAGGTTAGAAATAAACTCATCACTTGCTCACCCTTACCACAAAGAGGGTGAGGCTTGAATTCTATACATAGTTGACACGAATAGGTGGCAAAGTTATAATAGCATACATGTACAACATGGTGCTTAAGAGGGCATATTGAAAGTGTATTTAGGATAGTTGTAAGAATTAAATTATTTCAATAATTAATTATAATTGAAATGATTTTTTTGTTTGAATAAATTTGTTAAAAAAAAGTAATTTTGAAAAATTAATTTTTTTCTATACCATGATATTGACAAAAATATCTATCGATTTTCTTAGAAATTAGTTTCTCTCGGTATGTCATTTTTTATCAAGCTCAAGACTCAAACTCAACACCTTGAGAATTAATTACAACACTAATTGAGCCAACAAACATTAATTCTGAAATATTAATTTTGTTTTCATACAATAAAAAACCAACATGTATATAATAAATCAATTCACGAGGAAAAAACAGTTAAAAATAAGTATTATAAGCTTCAAATTCTCATATTAAAGAAAATAATTTATTTAAAAAAACTATTTAAAAGTTTAAATGGTCATCCTAAACATCCAACTTGTTTTATCAAAATATAAAAAGTATCGAATATGTTTTTAACCCTTAAACTTTTGTCAACTTTTGTTTAGATCCTAAACAATTTTTTTTTTAATTTTAGTCCTTAAACTTTTGTCGATTTTCATTTTTAATCTTTAAACTTTTTCACTTGTTAACATTTTGGTTCCTAACATCAAAATTTTGTATTCATGAAAATAAATTTTAAGAACTAAAATTCAATAAAATTTGTTCAAGGATTAAAAACAAAAATCTAGGACTAAAAACATTTAATTCACATAAAATCGTCCCAAACATGTTCTGGGTGACTAGATGGAGTGAAATTGCATTAATAAGAATGGTCATTCCCACGGTCAAAGTTGTTCCTTTGAGCAACTAAAGTTGAGAAAAAAGTATCAACGGTAGGGTTCATAGGCTAGAGTTTGAGCGTAATCATTTACATATAGGCAGCATAAGCCCACTAGAAAAAAAAAAACAAAAAAAAAATTTAAACTTCCTTAGTGATTATTATGATCCCTTAGATCTAATTAAAGGACACTGAATAGTGAAATCCGGTCGAAGAACACCAGATTTCTGACTTCTTCCTATTGTTAGCTAAGTTTAGAGACCCCAACGATCTCCAAGAGTAAAAGTAATTAAGAATCTTCTAAAAAAATTGTGCAAAACAATCTTTTCTGTTTTTAGCAAATTAGTTAACACGCTCTCAGAAATAACTGCTCTACAATACAGAACTAGCAGCTATAGTGACTAGCCATCCTAAAAAAAGATTGCAAATTGTTCAATAAGAAACCACCATACCAACAGGTGTCGATAACCTACAAACACTATTATTTACTAATGGAGCCAAGACACTATTTATTTCTATATTTTATTTAACAAAAATATTTAAAAATTATCAATGTTTGATAGATCAATTAGTGTTGCATTTACTCTTCAAACTTAAAGATCTTGAATTCAAGTTTTATCTTTATAAAAATGATTAATTTTTAATATTATTTTTTATTATTTAAAAATTTAAGAATAAAATCGTCTAAAAACATGTATAAAAAATAGAACAATCCCTCTTTATTATATGTTATAGGTTATATAGCTAGTGAAAAAGAAAAAAGCACTTCATACATACTTTTACAATTGGAAAAGATGTATGAGTTATAAGTGGTTAAAGATGTAAATATGCGAAAGATGTGAGACTAGATAAAAATGAATGAAATTAAAATAAGTTTAGAGTATAGTTAAAGGGTAAAGTAGTCCATAGTTTAGAGTGTAATTAAAAGATAATTGATAAGTATCATATTTGTTTTGAATTTGTGGTATAATTGGATGTACTTATTTTAATTTTCTTTAACTTGAGTTTTTGATTTGATCCAAATTTAATTTAATTTGTAAAAAATTAACTTTAGTTTATAAGTTTTAAGAAAATTTACAAGCATTTTGATGTCATCTTATAGATGAAAAGGAGAAGGATGGGAAACATTGAAATAAGTAGAAAACTTAGTGAAGCATCAGGAGAAATTTGGCTATGTATTGACGTTGAACATGGAATCCCATGCTCAATCCAACCTTCCAAAGACTTTAGCAAGTTGATTCAATTTGTCATGCTCAATCCAACCTTCAAAGGTCAATTTTTATTATTCTCTTAAGGGTGGATTTCCACGTTTAACGTCAAAAATACTGACATGTCATTAATGAGAAAATACAAAAGGGCTTATGACCTAAAATCGAGAGATTTGAAGACAAAATATTGAGGAACATTTCTTAGAGTGTGTGTGGCAGTCGAAAGAGCTCACATGACTTCAAAATCAAATTTCTTCATTTCTTCGTTATTTTTGTTGTGCTCCATGTCTATGTCTAGTTAAGTTCACCCATGTTAGAGTTTGATGTAACCATATCTATTCTCGTGTTCACATTCTAAGTTATTAATCTTAGTTATTATTTAGTATTATTGCTCTCTTCACTTAATGCATGTTATGGTTTGATCTCCTTTAACTTGTGAAACCTTGAACTGAAGTAAATCAGTTAATGATATTTACATTTAGGAATAGAGTAAATGCTATAAGTCATGCATAAACTTTTGTTCTTAAAGTTGGGTTCTTTGTTAGGTTATATAAGAAATTGATAGCTTAATCAAGAAACTTAAACTCTAACTTATAAGGAATTAATGTTTGAGACCCTCCTTTGATTTTCCTTCAACCATCCCACACTAGGTAAAGGGTGAAAAGGTGAACCCAGAAATGGCAATGAACTAGCTCATCCAGTATGATTACATTAGATTAGAACTTTAAATATTCATGATTATCCAGCTTAAAATTTCAAATAACTTCACAAGTAATTCATTAGCAAGTTCAACTTCACCAAAATCACGTTTGAGATAAGAACACTTACCGTCAGTATTGCTTTTCCAGTGTTGTCAAGTTTCAGTGATGGTCCTTTTATGTCAACTTCAAGAAAAAAGTGTTTTCCCTTAATCCCTTCCATGGTTGCAATATCTCTTATTTCCTGCATTGTTAAGACAACTGAGAACCTTTTTCTGTTGGCATAAACTGATAGATAACTACAGAAAAGCATGACCAGACAGAAAACAATTCCTTGAGAAAATAATTTTTGAAATAAAAATAAAGGTTTAACTCACCAGAGCTTTTTCCCAAAGATTTTCCGCCAACTTCATGAACAAGAAAAAAAAATCGTCAAGACAAAGGCAAACTGTAACGAATGTAATTTACAATTAAAACAAAATTGTGTGTTAACCTTCTTTCTGGGGGCAACGATAAGTTGAGCATTTGCTTCAGCATAAGACGCCATATCATTGATTGCTGCATTCACCTTCTCTAGTGTAAGCCTGCCTCTCATGTATCTGTAACATCAGACATGGTGTCAGGCAATGAAGTAAGCATAAATCATGAATAGAGAAGAGCATGTTTCTACATCGAAATTCTAGTCATTGACTAAGTCAACAATGTTTTGAGACATCTCAAATGACACACCTGGTGACAACACTTACATTGCTCCGACAGGTATAATTTAAGAGCCAAACGCACTGGAAAAATGAAGGAGCCAAAGCTACAGGGGGATTATAACTATGAAAACACTTTCTTCTAAGAGCAATTTATGCATGTTTTGTTGACAATTCATCTTCACATCATCAGATGTATTATATAACATATATATAATACAGCTGAATTTAGATTGACGATGTAGAGAATTATTCAATCAATGGAAGTATAGTTTGTTACTTACGATGACAAGGAATCTAGTTCACTTCCAGTAACATACCACGTTGGTGGTGAACCACGACCTTTTTTCTCCTACAAAAGAAAATCTCAGACCATAACATGACAATGTATCTAGTAATGATAAGAAAAATGATATAGCTTTACTGAGGCAAGGGCAACAAATTCTCAAGTAGGGAACAGTCAAACAGATTAAAAAGAACCGAAAAAGAGAGAAAACATAAAAACATGGAATGCAAGGCGATATAATAGTTCCAAATTTCCCATATAATACTTCTAAACTATCAATAATTCGTGTTGTGTTACAACTGGAACCCAGAATTAAAAGAACTCATGTAGCTGTACTCAGAAGTAGAGAAAGAGAGACGATAAGAGAGAAAAAGAAAACTGTTATCATGTAATGATTGCTGAGAATTATAGTTTCAGTCCTCTCCTCCACAATGAATTTTCCCGAAATCTACTACTACAGTATCTATCTATACTGCTATTTATAGCAATCAACTCCTAACTACCTAGTGACCCCTATAACTGCCCAATTAATTGACCTGCGGGTCACTTGAGTTTGTTATCTTCGTATTCCTTCTGCAGCACACTTAAGTAATAGGTTCCTTATTCGTAACATGTTGTGATGATCTAAATATGTTTCGAAAAGGTTAAGAGTATTGGTAGTAGAAAAAACATAGGTGAGCCTAATCCAGTTATCTAAAACAAGGAAATATTACCACATTTCAAGAAAATTAGTTGCGATGATACATTGCATACTGTTAAGAAATACACAGGCTTCGTCTCTCGGCATTAGATGGACTATGTTAGGCGTGAACCAAAATGATATTTGCACTTAAACAGATCTCACTTACCTTGGGCACTGGCACTGCTGCAGGCTCCTCATCAAGCTTCAAGGCCTCAAATGATCCAGAGTCTTGTCCAGAAAATTCAGGAAACAAACTGCGGAACAGCACTAACAACAATTAGGTGTCTGCTCAAACAGAGATGATATAAATTTCGTAAAACAAACCACATAACAGATTAAACAAAAAAATATAAAATTACCATCTACTAGTTTCCAAATGTGACATTGTCACTCTATCAGGCACTTGGTGGGGAACATGAAGAGACAAATTCTGCAGTTTCTTTTGCTGCCGCAGTGATGCATCGATCAATTTCTACTAGAAGGCCAACAAACAAACTCAACAGTCATCAATTGAAAAATATGAGTTTAATTATTCAATCAATACAACGCAAAAAATCTAGAATAAGGGTAAACAGCAAAAGCTATACAAAAATCTGTTCCTTTTTTCTTTCCCCAGCTATAATGTTTAATTCTACTAATGGTTGACATCTACAGTTGCGTGTGGTATAAATAATCATAGTTTGCTTCTTTTCAGTGAATTTCCCAATGTCAATCTCCAAGCATATCTAATCAAGAGACTTGATCCATTGAAATAATTGCATGAAGCACAGGAACATTTGGAAGAAGTTACTTAGACTTGTTAAAATGTTATATGACTTTTCTGTGAACTCATTCTACCTTCTTATTTTCCTTTCTTTTATATTTATATGCTTATAAAAATAAGGTTTAAAAATACACTTGATCCCTACATATTCATACATTCAATCTTTTAGTCATTACATTTTGATTCCGATATATATCACTTTTGTTTTCATTTAGTCTCTATCCTCTATTGATTAAAGAGACTAAAATGTAAGATTCATGAAATTATAAGACTAAACAGAATCAAAAAAAAAAAATGATATGTAAACTAGAGAAGCTAAAATTAAATGTTTTTAACTATAACGACTAAAAAGTAAAAATCATGACAAGAGCTTACCGAACAAGTGTTTAACCCAAATCAACTTACCACCCAAACACTCCCTAAACATTAATTTTCCTCGAATTCTAAAGAAGCAGCATACGCGAGAAACAAAGCCCAGAACCAATTAAGCATCTAGAGCTAACGGAATTGGAAGCAAAATCAAAAGCCACAAATACATGCCTTGGTTTTGGGAATGGCTTGAACCTCTTGGCGCAGGCGGTCCTTGATGGCCTTGACCTGAAGCTCCATGGCGGTGACCGCCGCATCCACCGCCGAGAGATCCGCGACGCCGCTGGCGGGGTACACTGGAAAATTGGTGTGAGAAGGAAAGCTTGGAATTGGATGATTGAAAATTGAGATTAGGTGAAGGAGGTGACTCACTGTTTCGCGCAATGACGAGTTCCTGAAGCTGCGTTATGCGACCATTGAAGGAAGATATCAAGGAATCCAACGACGCACCAGCTTGCTTCCCGTTCATCTCTCTCTTTCTTTCTATCCCAAATTCAAGTGTTGAACTCACTCACTCAAGCCTTTTGGTTTGGTTCTGCACTTTCGGAGATTAGGTTTCATAATTTGAAATGCTACGCTAGTTTCGCCGCCAAATGCCATTCTTTCAAATTGGATTCTTTTTTTTTTTTTCGTCTATAACACTGTGGCCCAAAGCTTACACAAACAAACAATCATGTGTTTTAATTAAGTGAATTTTCTTAGCTAAATATTATTTTAATATAGATAATAATTGGATTTAAAAATATAATGTTGACTTTTAGATTATAAGGTAAATTTTATAATCACTAGATTAAGTTTGTTGATCTCAAATCACAAGGCAAATCTTATAATCATTAATTAAGCGATTTAATACTATTTTCGTTTTTATATAAGACCTTTTCACTTTTTTGTTTGTCTTGTTTTTTACAAGATCATCTTTTAGTTATAGTTGCATTAGTTATATATATATATATATATATATATATATGAGACAAGTGTGTATGTATATGTATATGTATATGTATATACTTAAAAATAAAAGCTCGTTTACTTAAATTTAAAAAGAAATATTTTTAAACAAATATTTTAAAAATTTTATTTAAAAGTATAGAGGAGTTATTTCTAAAAAAATAGAAAATTGCTTATTTTAAAAGAAGAAGAAGTTTAGACAAATACATAAATAAAAAATTAAAAAATTAAAAAAGTGTTTATTTTATTTAAAAAAATATAAGTAAAAAAAATTAAAACAAACATATCCTAAGTGTTTCTAAACAGGTATTTAAAAAAAACAATTCTTTAAAAAGTAGATAGAAGTTTTTTCTTAGAAAAATAGAAAATTATTTATTTTAAAAAAAAAT